CAGAGAACAGTCTTGGCTGCATTTAAAAAGGTAACTGTTCAGCCACTCCTTAAAAAAGCTGTTCTGTTTCTGTTTTGTCTTTGGAAGACTTGGTAACTACTGTCCAGCTCCTAGTACTGCTGCCTTTTTCATGGTCACTGTGGGTTTTTTAGCATCTGTGCACCTTTGTCTCTGAGCTTCCTAGCTCACCTCTATCAGAAGGACAGAAGGAGTGTGTGATCCCTCTGATTCTCCTGAATCTCTCAGTGGCCACCACTGTCTGAGGTAGTGGACTTGTCCAGGAAAGCTCACACTAAAATATAGCAGTTAGTCTTTAAGGTGCCACAAGGTTTTTGTCTTTTGTTTGTTGTTTTTGCCTCACATGCCACCACAGACTAACATGACTACCTCTTCTAAAACAGTGGCTGCCATGGTAACTGAGTGGACTGATTCAATTACTAAGGATAGGATTAAATGATGATGCAACATTTTGAGAAGAACGTACAGGTGTGGATTAGAGATGAGGGCATTCGTATACTAATATCCCTGCACAAGTGGCGTTAATGAGGCGCAAGCCCCATGGGGCTGGACGGTCCACTCACCGATCTGCCACGGACGCGGACAGCATGATTCTACAAATGGCTCCGCAGCGCACAATCCACTCACTACTCCTGGCAGGAAGCGGGAGGACAAACCTCACTGCAAGGTTGAAGAGTGGCGATTGGATTGCGTGCTGTGGAGTCCGCATCCGGGGCAGATTGGTGAGTGGACCATCCGGCCCCATGGGACTTGCGCTTCGTTAACACCACCTGTGTGGAGATATTCATATTCGTATACAAATACTCCCATTTCTAGTGTTCACGTCTACCAACTCTGACCTTTCTGCTCTGGGTCCAGCAAGTGATGTGAGGAGAACCTAACTTCTTTTTTGTTTTCTTTTCCCAGAATGCAAACTGCTTTGCTATTGTATTGTTAACGTACAATATCCTTACGAGGCTGGCTATTAGGCTGGGGATAGGTGTTGTTTGGAAACCCACTATCAGGCTCCCTAGCTGACCAAAGACCTTAACTTAAAGGTACAGGTCCAGCTGATTTTTAAAGTGATTTATCAAAATATTGTATTGGCTGAAATACTATTTATACAAAAGGCTTAACTTTTAGAGGTGAATTGTCTCAAGTTAAAAAACCTCCAATACTCAGGGTGCAGCATATATTTTCAATGGAGCTCTCCTAAATTGAGGCAATTAAATAACTTGAGGTTATGTAAAAGTTACATCACAGCTCAACAGGATTTCAGCCATTCTGTTTTGCTTTTCTCTATTCTTTCTTGGCAGGGCTCTTTGGCCCCTTTAACATCAGCATAAGGTAGTCCTTTCCCACATACATAGAAGCAGCAGCAATATTTGTTGGAAATGTAAAAGAAAAGAAGGAACTTATTATCATATGTAGTGGACATGTGAAAAAGCCAAGGGTTATTGATTACAGCTGTGGGAAATAATAAAAGGAGTCACTCAGCAGAAATTAAATTTTAAACCTGAAATAGCACTACTAAATATTATGCCAGAAATTACTGATAATAAAATTAAATATTGTTTGATGTATATATTTTTAGCAGCTAGATTACTCTGGGCCCAAAAATGGAAAAGTGAAGATACACCTATGACGGAGGAGTTCCCGAAGAAGCTGTTGGATATCACAGAACTAGACACACTCTCAGAAGCACTACGAGAACAACCAAGGGACTATGCAAAACAAAGCTGGAACTTAATATATGTTTGGGCCCAGGGACAGATCAAAGCTTAGGGCAAAATGATTTATGTTTTTTTTTTCCCAATGCTCTCTGGAAATTTGGGAAATTTGGGACTTAAATGAGGTTGGAATCTCTGTCCTCAAAAGGGGGGAGGGGATATTTGTTGTCATAATTTTTTAAAATTTTTTGTACTGTATTTTGTGTAGTTTGTAGATTTATATGTTCAAATAAAAATTATTCATTAAAAAAAGAAGTAGTTTCATGGCAGGAAAAATGACCTTGTTAAACTTCTGCTTGTCAGAAAATTGTTAAAAGGAAACAAAGCTGAAGAGGAAAAAAGCAAATATTAGATCCCACCCAGTCACTCTGTATTAGTGGCATTTGCCCAGTTCATAAATATTCATATGCTATTTGCATAGACCAATGGGAGTGCTGGAGGGTTGGAGTCATGAGGTATGAGAGACTCAGCAGCAGGAGTTTAGATAGGGTTTTGAGATGGAGAGTTAGGGTGTTAAGGAGCTGAAGAGACTGAGAGAGAGATTTGGAGTTTGGCCAGGAGGGTGGAGGTGGAGAGGGATAAAGTGAAATGCTTGTTGAAGAGTTAACAACATTGCCTTTTCTGTCCACACCTATATCAAAAATAAGTTTTTTAAATAGGTTATTTTGAGATAGAGACATTTGGAGTTTGGGCGGGAGTGGTGATTGAGGGTGGATAAAGGAGAATGTTTAAGGTTTAACAACATTGCTTGTTTTGTCACTGCCTGTATCAATAAACCATTTCTATTGGGTTCTTTTAAAATTACAAATGGCCTGGACTGTGATTATTAATAATAGGTATGTTGGATGAAATCAACTGGTGGCAGCTGAGGGGCATGGAGCATGGGCTCCTTTGGCGAAACAAACAGGGGCCAAGTGGGAATCGTGACAGTACCGTATTAAGTATTCTTTAGAAAAGAAGGGAAAGTGAGCTTACAAACTACCTCCAGACCATGATTATATCTCAAAATAATGGGAACCACACCATATCATTTCAAAATACTTCAGCTACTTCTAGCCTCTTTTTTCTCTCTTGCAGATTATGAAACTACAGGTAAGATTAGCTGTCTTTTAATTGTTATATAGTTGTTTACATTTTAAGCAGCAGTGGATTTTTTTATCTGCATAGTTTCAGACATCTGACAAGGACATTTCTCACAAGAAATGGCTGATTGGATATGGTGACGCAGAATATTTAGGTGTTCAAGGAACAAAGCATTCTGAAAAACAACTAATGAATGAAAGAGAATGTTGTTGGCTTCGTTCTGATTCAAGTGTCACATAAGAAGTAGTAGCTGAGGTATGGGAAGCAGCAGTCCTGGAACACAGGGAAGTTGAAAAGAGCAGAGTCAAAAAGAAGGGTCCAGACCATGAACTGAAGCACAGTGTGAATTATTGGGAAGTGGAATAGGAGTCTCCTTAATAAAATCTGCAAGACGAGTGCCTCCTGATTTTGGAACTCCTAGGCAAGATGTCCTGGGTGGACCAACCCCCAAGGGTTTACCTCATCCACAAAATTGTCACTGTGGCCCATTCACTTCTCCTCTCCCTTTGCAAATGAGCAACACAGCTGCTGAGAGGAGGGGAAAACTGATACAGCGCTATCTCCTCACTTTCATCCTCTGCTCACGGAGGAGGCAGGAGAATTCACAGCAGCCACACCAAGAAGCAGCAAAGGCATGGGTCTCAGAGCACGGGCAGTGAGGCCCTGGCCAGTATGTGGGCAGGTGATCAATGAGGGATGTTCTTGATCCTTTCCCTGCACAAGGCAGAGCCTTCTCTCAATTTTAAACACGCAGTATTATGCCCCTTGTCCTTTTAAACTTGAGCAGTTAAGGGAGGCAGCACAAAAGGTAAGGTGATAGGATTCTCCCTGCCCCCTCCTTCCATGCTGTGGCAATTTCAACACTTTTTAAAGGGAAAAAAAGCTTTAGGCAAAATGCAGTACAAAGAGTGAAACTGAGCTAAGAATGTGGAAGAAAGTTGATGGCACTTAAAATGAAAAGTGGCAATATGTTAGAGGGAGAGCAAGATATGCCTGTTAGTGTGACTGGTCAAGAGACAGGGTACCCTGAGCAGGTGGGGTAATGTAGCCTAAAAAGTGGCCACAGTGACTGGGATATTTCAAGGACTTATAATACCTCCCCACACATACACACCAATTCTAAGCTCTGGGAAAAAAAAAGGTATGGGACTACACCTCTGGATTGATTAGGGTTGTGCAGTTTCCTTGGCTCTGACTCTTGCCCAAGGAAGAACCTAATCATAATAGCTTTTTATTTCGATGGGTAACTACCGGGGCAGGTACCTTATACAATGGGGGTTCCGGCTTCTGTGAAAGCTTATGCACACAGAAATCTATGTGCATGGATTTTTCTTTGCCAATGTCCTAGTGCTTAGTCAATGCATAGATGTCAGGGCAAAGTGAGACTAACAGTCCCTTCTTCCTGGGCAAGGGCCTCCTTTGTTGCACAAAGGGGGCTTAGATCTAAGAGATTTCCACTTGGGGTTTGTTCCATCACCGGGTGGCGGGTGAGTAGAACAAAGAGGCACCTCTGCTGAAATTCTGGGGTACCCCTTCAGCTAGGACTATGGGCAATCCCTGCTGGCATTCCTGAAAGAACCATGAAGACCAAGAAATGGGGCAAGAGGCTGAAATTCATAACCCAACTTGAAACAAACAAGTTTAAGTTCAGGGTTTTTCTTCGTAAATGCAAACTTTGACTACAAATAATGTTTTCTGGTTTTAGGGTTGGCAGCTGTCAGTGCAAAACAACGTGAGGACTAAACCCAAGCACAATTCACACCTTGGCAGATTAAAAAATGTACTAGCTAATTTTGCTATTCCAAGTAACTCCGGTCAGAACTTGTGCTTATTGAAGGCACACGACAGAAAGATCGCTGGAGCATCGGGGAAAGGAAATGGGGTTTGAAATAAAGATCGCATATTCATTCTTGGATGCCTCACACGTCTGTGTATGGCTACGTGGCTGGAAGTTACTAATCCCCACACTCCACCCAAGATCCTAGAGACCGTCTAGAATGCGGATCTTCCTTTTACTGTTCCAGGGAGCAGGCGAGTCCCTTTCCAACTCTCACTGCAACGCTACGCGCGCTTGCTCGAAAGAAAGTCCAAAAGCAATCGAAGAGCTGTATTTCTCTTTGTATGTTCAGGAGTCCGCCAAGCCAGGCTTTTCGCTGCGGAACTGCCCCAAACCCTCGGATTTCGTCTTACCTGATGGCCTCTTATCTCGGGTGAAGCAGGAGACTGCTCAGATCAGGGAGTTGCCCGGCCACCAGCTGCCTTACGCGGGTGGGCCGAGATGCCTTTGCGGTTTCTCCGCCCCAACTTTGGGAGTGGGAGGCGCACAAAGGGAGCCCTCGGGTTAAGCAGCGGTGGAACAACGAAGGTGCGCTCGGGAGGGAGTACACCGAAGGCGACGGCCCGCCGTAGACCAGAGCATGGCCACCCTTTCACGTGTGTTGGATCCCCACGCCCGCCCCACGGCCTGATGCATGTTTGCTGAGGGGCGCTCCCATTTCACCCAGGAATAAGCAACACTTAAGGATCCCAGCGGTTCGGGTTCTAGCGCGTATTTACGCAGATCGGAGACCTTTCGCATTCAAACGGATTTGTTGCCGACCACTTTTATTTTATTTATTTAAAACATTTTTACCCCGCCTTTCCTCTCAAAAAGAACCCAAGGCGACTTTACATCTTTGAAAAGACGATATGTAGACGCTAAAAAACAGTACGTATATAAATATTTAAAGAAAAAGAATTCAACAAGTATTACATTAAAAACAAGAATACAATCAATACCAAAACACGTTTAAGGCTACAGAGCCCAACTATTCATTTAAAAGCCCTTCTCAGCCCACCAGCTATTAAGGGAAAGCTTGCCTTTTATAGCACTTGCTAAAAAACGATGGGAATAAGTCCCATTGAACTCAAACACACACCCCCCATCCGACTTTGCACGCCTCTTTACTTGAGAGGAAGTCCGCCGGCACTCCAGGGGCGACCAGCGCAAACAAGGCAAGCGCGACCCCGCCCGCTTGCCCTCCCTGCTTCCCTCCCTCCGCGTCTCCCGCCCAACTTCATGTTCCTGTGGGCGCGGCTTTCCTGCTGACCCCGGAAGCGAAACCATCTGGCTGCCGGGAAGCCGGAAGCGGCAACCTGGGCTTTCTAGCCGAGGCGGGGCTGCCCGGGAGAGCCGGGAGGCGCTTCTGAGGGGAGGGCCGCGGTCAGCGTGCAGTCACCATGCGGTGCTCTGGACTGGCCGGGGCGGCGCGGTAGGGTGGTGACCTGCGCCGGCGGGAGAGCTTGCAACAGCCGTTTCTGGAGCGCGTTCCTTTACGTTATCCCGCTATGGGGGCCGAGCAGAGCGCCGAGGCTGAAAACCGGCCTCATGAACCGAATAGTTCAGGTGGGTGCTCTGTCTCCAGGACGCCGGACGGCAGCTGTGGGTGCCCTTCATTGCGTGAAGCTCGGTCTACCTGCAGCTGTCAGGGATGCGTTGCTCTTCAGATCACACAGCTGAGGGCTCCGGATGACGCTACGTTCCTCTCTCTTTTTATATATGTAGATGTTTAATTTCCCTACATCCCAACGTAGTTGTTGGGGGGTAACGGTTCAACTCTAGTTTGCGCGGTTTCCTCAAATCCTTTTCACAGTCAAAGCCAGTACTGTAACTGCCACGGCAATGAATCTTATAATTTAATTGTATAACAGAAACAAAGCAAAAGAGGCACCAAGGACTTTCAGGAGAATAGCACTGTAGCCCTAAAGGGGGAGAGGGACGCTTGGTTGCAAGGTGTGGAGAGCAGCAGTCACATTTTAAAATGATCTCCTGTGTCTGAGTAAACATCCCGCAAGTTGTTTTTGAAAAACAAAATAAAACAAAACAAAGCAGTTCAACAGGGAGTACTTTGTAGCTGAAAGAAACCTGATACATGGGGACTTTTAAAAATCAGTTTCCCACTTTGCACCGTGAAAAGGTACAGACTGCTTTATCACTGCAAGTTTAGGGCAGCAAGATTAATTTTTGCAAGAAACTGGAGAAATGATAATCAGTTCAGTTTAGAGGAATGGTACAGAGAATTATGGGATGTGGCAATTAATAATAGACTGACATGTAATATGAAAATAAGAGGCCAAACAAAAAATAATGATTTTAAGAAAATATGTGTATTTTTGGAATATGTCAGAGAGGAAAGGGGTATACACCGAGAGAAGAAACGATGAATTTTTGGAGAGAAAATGGATTGAATGAAATTTAATAATAGCCCTGAAGGTGACGGTGGCACTATATGATATGTAATTGTATTTTATTGTGTTTTTTCTGTGTGGTAGGTTTATGTTGTGTAATTTAATAAAAAAAATATTTAAAAAATCACTGCAAGTTTAACATTTTATTCCGCTGTAGTTGTAGAGTAAGTGTAATTGACTTAGCACCATTTTTAGGGATCTTCTTTTATGAACATCTGCCTTTTGCATGCAGCCTTCTTGTCTTGTTATTCTCTATCTTGTCTACCTTAACTTCTCTTATCTCCTCACTGCAGCTCCTTTGCTCTCAAATCAAGATGACAGTGGCTGGGGGAGAACAATGAACAGAGCCATCAAATTTTGGTCACATGCAGCTCAAATACAACACGCTTCTTGATACAGATTTTTTGCACATCCCATTGAAAGTCATTCTGGTGATGTGCTCTGTAGATGCATGTGTTGGTAGTTGCTGCATGAATACCAAAAGGGTGTTAGGGCACTGTTCTTTAGTAAATTGATAAATGCATGAGTTTTGTATGGTTATTTTTATTTTTTATTATTCTGATTTATTGTAACTCTTTTTAGGGTTTTTCAAGTAGAGAATACTCAGAAGTTGTTTGCCATTCTCTTCTTCTGGGGGCATCCTGGGGACTGTGCAGCTTGCCGAAGACCACATAAATGGACTCTTCTGGAATGCATAGTGGGGAATTGAACACCTAACCTCTGGCTCAGCAGCTGGATACATTTTCCTCAATGAATGCTTCTGGTGTAATAGCTAAATGTTGTTCTTTTTTTAACCTGGTACTTGTTTAAATCCTTTTTTCTCTGAAGATGCTACCTAAGCAGGATTAAATCTGTGCTACTACAATTACTGTGACAGTGGCTTTATTTTTCTTCCTTTTTTGCTGGATAGTTCAGTGAAATGGAGAACTGAGCTGCAGGGCCAGAGATCACATGTTTGAATCCTCACTATGCCTTTTAGGGGAAGAGACAATGTGTGTCACACACCCACAGAAGATGGCAACAGTGAACCACTGCTGAGTATACCTCAAAAATGCTGGGATAGTTTTCTGTAAGTAATTATGATTATGATTATATTTTCTTCAGCATCCCCTTCACCAGCTAAACAACGAGCCAAAATGGATGATATTGTGGTTGTGGCACAAGGGACACAGTCATCACGAAATGTGAGCAATGACCCAGATGTCATCAAACTGCAGGAAATTCCAACTTTCCAACCCCTTCTGAAAGGTAAGACATTACCTAAAGTTTCCATGTTAAAAAGACCATTGCTAGGGATGCCCTAGCCCTGCGGTTATTTTGTGTCCCATAATCTGCCAGTCATTCATCCATATTCCTCTTTGCTGTTCTGTTTGCTGGAAAATAGTAACAGGAACTGGTAATATTTAGAACTATATTTAGATCACTAATTATGTTGAAACATCAAGACTGTGTTTAATGTCAGCATATATTTTTCAAATATTTTCCACAGTCTTCTTGTCCAGATTGACTTCAGCACCAGTAATCTCTTATTAGTTGCAGAGAAATAGGGTATCCCTCTAAAACAGTAGTTCTCCAGCTGTTCCTGCACTAAAATTTTTAAAAGGCATCACCACTAGCAGTACTGGCTAGGATTTCTGGGAGTTTTAGTCGAAGAACATCTAAAGATCCATGGTTGGAAACCAGTGCTCTAAAGCAGCCGTTCTCAACCTGCTTTTCTTTTTCGCTATGGCCATAAAAACAATATGAAAGAAACATAGGCCAAATCAGCATTGTATAAGTTACATAATGAACCATGTAAGGTGGTGTGTGAAGAATTATTTCCAGTCTGTGGCCCCCTTAAAATGTAAAACGGTTCCCCAGGAGGCCATGTAGCCCCCATTGAGAATGCCTGTTCTAAAGGAATCGACATAAACCAAAGAAATAAGGAAGACAGTCTTGGAGATTTTAATAGCACTTTCAAGAATATCCAGAATTGTATCATTTTGAGGGAAGAAAAAAAATCCTACAGGAGTAACTTTGGATAGAGTGGGAAGATACATCATCACATACAGACTTTCTAAAGCTAATAGCATTTTAAGAACACAAATAAAATTTGGTCCAAATGAAAAAAATTAATGTTTTTTTTAAATTTTAGACATTAAAAAACTAGAAAATGATTTATTTGTATCCACTGTGTATTGTCTTCTACAGTTAGATTGCCTTTACCTTTAGAATAACTGGATAATTCCTAAAAATAATAGGGTGTTACTGAGGTCATCCTTCATGCATGCATCAATATGTCTGTTATTCTATTTGCATAGTATGTGTGAATGAGTATAAAGTCATTCAGGATGAGGAAAAGGCTACCTGACCAGCTTTCAAGGAGTTCAAAAGGTACCCTGGATTACTATAAAAAATATATACTGTATGTTAATTGTCTGCACTATTTATCCATGCCGCCAGATGTCAGTATATATCAACAGACATCTGGATGTCCTAGGACTGCTTAAATCTATATTAATAGACAGTACGATGTATCAATGCATCCAGATGTCTGTCTGACATCTATTGGCATGGATAAATAGTGCAGACAATTAACAGAGGTAGTGTCAGTTAATTGAAACACCAAAAAGAGAAAAATATATTTTTTCTTATTTATGCAAAATCACAAATAGTTGGAACAACTTGAGTATACAGTGTAGGTGGATAATTTCCCAGTTTATATGAAATATGAATAAACAAACAGTGAAAGATTTGAAGGAAAACATCCAGGCATTATGAATTATATTAGTAAGTGTTATCTCTTAGCAAACCCTACTATTTTGAGTAAATGAAAATGCAGTTTATGTGTAAATATATTACCTCCATATATAATGTCCCTCTATTTTAATCAATTTGGGGAATCAAAAATTGTTTCTAATAGTCAACAAGGCTTGATTTTCTTACCCCCTTTTTCCAGATGCCAATAAACATATTATAGTACCTGCAATCCAGCTGGAGGGTTTTAGAAGAGCAGCAGACATTTTCTGTGCCCATAGCACTCTTCTCCCTCTGTCATAATGCTGATTTTCTGGTCCAATATGAGCTTCAGCCTGATCCCATTTTGAAAGAGATACACTCCATTTTGGAGTGTTGCACATTGCTTGCTCCTGCACTAGAGCATCTTAGAGGTCTTTGGCACTAATTGCTAGTATTATGGTTGTTATTAATGGCTGTGCAGCCATATTTGTGGAACCTGGTACTCTTATAATAGTAGAGGGCACAGTATTAGGCTCCAGCTACACTGACAAACTGAATTTGGCTTTGCTGCAGCTTGGCTGACAGCCTGTTTTAAACTTCGATTCAGATTAGGTGATTACATGAAGACTGCAGATCAACATTCCCTTTAATTTTCAGCTCCATGCTTTGCCCCTCTTGTGTGCAACACTGTAGAATTCTGTCACGACCAGAAACAAAGGGGCTGAAAACAGTTGCTTGTGGATGAACGGAGGAGGAGCGCTGCGCAGACGGGGGTGGAGATCTGTGCACACAGGCACACACCTTAAAGGGAACCGTGCTGCAGATTGCTTTGGTCCCAGTGTCCACACTGCCCCCTCTGTCTAATAGAGTTAGATCCCATCCGTTGATCCCACCATCTGCTGCTTCTTGGCTTTCCATTTATGGTTCATTGTAAAGGCAGTGGACTGTTTAAAGTGTTGCGTAACACTAGGGGAAAGGGATAATTTTCTAAATTTCTCCATAACTTATAAACACGTACTGCAGAAACACAGTAGTTTGCTGTAGTTTGTTGGAAATATTTCTATTTCATATCAATGTTTCTTTTTTTTGTCGGTGCTGAGGTGATCTAGTACTAAACTAATACAGTGGTGCCTCGCAAGACGATGTTAATTCGTTCCGCGAAAATCGCTGTTAAGCGAAAACATCGTCTTGCGAAACATGTTTTCCCATTGAAATGCATCGAAAACCTGATAATACGTTCCAATGGGAACGGATTGTCATCGTAAAGGGAAAATTGCCATAGGAAACATCGTTAAGCGAAACGCGGTTCCCAAGCAAAGACAGCTGTCTAACAAAACAGAGACTATTACAGTGGCGTCTTGACTTACGAATGGCCCGAGTTGCGTACTTTTTGACTTATGAACCACTCTGAGAGGAAAATATTTCCTTGACCTACAAATGTTATTTTGAGTTACACACCCCTGCCAAGCTTTGCCTCTCTGCTCTGGCCGCAGCTTCTCCGTGCTCGGGCAGGCCCTCCCCGCACAGCCACACCCAACCCCTGCCGTCTGCTCTCTCCCCCTCACCTGCTCCTGTGGTGGCATGGGGCAGAGGCCCTCCCCAGGGGGCTCCTCTCCCTTCCCTCCACCAAGCTTTGCCTCTCTGCCAGGCTTTTTCCCCAGGCTGGCTCCCCTCCCTCCGCTCCCACGTGCTTTGACTCTGCTCCTGGCAAGGAATCTGGCCGCCCACGGTTGCAGGTAGCCCCTTTCGCTCCATGGCCACCCATGCCTTGCCTGACTTTCCTCCCCTCCCCTGCCGTCTCTTCTCTCTCCCCTCACCTGCACCCGGCAAGGAATCTGGCCGCCACCACCACCGAGAGCTGGAGCAAAGTCCCCCCACCCCCCACCCCGGCAGCCAGGTCCAAACTGAGCCAAGAGACCAGCTCAAAGGTAGGAGAGACTGGCACGGGGGAGTGGGAAGGAAGGACAGAGACTGGGAGGACTTTTCTAGGCAGAGAGAGATGTGTTTGTTCTGGAAGGCAGGCATTTTTGTGCTGGAGGAATGGTTGCTGGATTCTGTGCCTTGCTGAACGGGCTTGGCTTGGCTGAAATGTGTTTTGCAAACTGTTCTGTTGTCTGAGATGTGCTTGCTTTAAAAGGTGTTCCTTCCCTCCTTTGCTTGCTCCTTTTCCCCCAAAACGGGCTTGGCTTGGCTGAAACGTGTTTTGCAAACTGTTCTGCAAACTGCTTCCCCCCCTCTTGACGTAAGAAAAAGAAAAAAGAAAAAATATCCCCCTCTAGTGGTAGAAGGCAGAATAGCAGCTTCCCATTAGTTTCTATGGACAGAAAAGAGCAGATACGGATTAAATGGTTTTCAATGCATTCCTATGGGAAATGCAGATTTGACACAAGAACTTTTCGACCTAAGAACCACCTTCCAATACGGATTAAGTTCTTAAGTCAAGACCCCACTGTAAAAGACTCGTATAGCGAAGCAAGACAAAGCTGCAAGCTGTCAAAAACATCGTAAAGCGAAAAACAGGGACCTAAAATTTAACCATCTTGCGAGGCAAGGTCCCTAACATCGTAAAGTGAAAATCGCCCATAGGAAACATCGTTAAACAAAGTGCAAGATTGCTCCGAAAACCTCATCGTAAAGCGAATTCATCATCATGCGAAGCAATTGTCTTGCGAGGCACTGCTGTACATCAATGCAGTGGTAAGGTGATCTAGTGCTAAACTGGGTATTTGTTTAAAAAATAATTTAGGGAAGTAAAATTGGGAGAAAGATTCTGGGGATGGGGTGTTCGTGTTGTTCAAAAGGTCATTCCCAGTTTAGTACCTTAACAGAATACTGCCCACAGTCCTTCTGGAGAACAAAACAGCTGATACAGTGAACACACTTCTGAATACCTCCAGCTTGAAAAAAGTGGAAGCCACCCAAAGCTGTGCTTCAAAACAAGCTGGGGCTGATTCCTGTTGGCCTTTATGTCATGTACCAAGGAGTACCAGTATTTACATAAATATGCTCTTTGGAGAAGTATCTTTTATTTAAGATGCAGAACAACGAGACAGAAGCAACGCTTTGTGAGTTAGAGACTATGGTATTCACCCTAAGTTATGCATTGTTAGTTATGCATTATTCATGTTATATGTTAATGTAGTTAAGAGGCGGGGCCGAAAGCGATGCTAAAAAGGCGGAGCCTGAGAGAGAAGCCAGTCGGGCTGAGTCTGGAATCAGAGAGAGAAAGACAGTTTTTTTGGAGGGGGTCTGAGGAGTAATTATTTAGAGTGTAACCTGTGATAATTAATATAGAAGGTTAATATTGATGATTGACGAATCTTGAAGAATGTGCTTATGAATTATTCCAGAAACCATCTGTAATTAATAAACTTGTTCTGTTGAAACATCAGTTCTGGATGCACCTTTGGTTTTTTCTAAGTAAACTAAGTTGATAAAAGAGATCAACTGGTTCACAGCATATCAGAGGTCATGCTGAGTACCTTGTGAGCTCTGTGTTTGGGGAAACAAGCAGAGGCCAGAGAAATGGA